TAGATTCGTGGAGTGACCAGTCGGAGGGAATAGTAATACATGTCAACTGTTTGGCAAACTTTGCCCAAAATCTGTCCAGTGTTTTGACATTAACATTGAGTTTTGTGGCTTCATATAAACGAAAGGCATTCAAGTGATCGCAATGTGTTGTAATTGACGACAACATTAAGCTATTCAATAGAAACTCTTTGTCCGCAAATTCAATTCGTGTCACATTTTGGCATTTCTTGAGTATTACTTCATGTGATTTCCACTTCAGTTGGTATGCATTGGATGTGTTGTCAAATATGATCTCTTTCTGTGTGTTCAATACGACTCTCTGCCACTGTTTGGACACATATTCATAACGGAACCGATCATTGAATGACAGGAAAGACAGTAAGTGTTGACACAAATCGTCGCCGAAGCGGTCGAAAGAGTCTTTGCGATAGACTTCACATTCATTTGATTCACTCGTGACTTGACTTTTGCTGCGAGTCTTGGTATCACTTCTTGTGTCCAACAATTGTCTCCGTTTTGTATCACTTCTTAAACCTCTTGTCTCCATATTATACGACATTATAATGCATTCAAATGAACACTAATTTGAGTGAAAAACACATAAAACTAATGATAAATGCAATGAAAACTTAAATCAACTGAAAGTCAGACAAACATTAAATGAATAATTGTTGCGATATTTTCATCACTGAATCAGATCTGTGGACAACAACACGTGATTCACTGTTTGAATGCATTGGCGCTAAACAACAAACAATTGAATTGAGATTAAAGTAAAACTTGATTTCAATACAACTCATCGGCACTTAATTGAGACAATTATACAAAGGATTTACATTTTGATTGCACTTTAATAAACAAAATTTGTATTTAATCTATTTGATTACAAAATCTATTTAATAGACAATAATTCATATGAACTCAAATCACACACAAAAGTAGCGTAAAATACAATTGTTTGAAACTCTAAACTTGAAAGCATTGACCACTGGATCAGTCATCTGTGTCTGTGTCTGAAGAGCCAAAGTCAAGCAGAAAGCCTTCATCACTGGAGTCATCACTGGACTCATCGCTGGTGTCTTCAATGATCACGACATCAATCTCATCATCACTACTGTCTTCATCAGTGGAATCATTGAAATCGTGAAAACGTTTCACTTTCTCGACAGTAATGCTAGTATTGGGACACAACTCGCGAAGTTTGCGAACAGACTGTTCACTGCTAACCCATCGGGTCTCCAGTCTTATGGTCTCAATATTCTTAAGCTCTGCCAACGATTGCGACGGTATATCACGTAATGATAATAGAGTTAGTCTCAGACACCGAAGTCGGGGCAAAGTCTGTGCGATATTCACTAAAAACGAGTTATCCAGTGAACAGTATCGGTGGCGGTCGCGGTGTGTATTGATTGACAAATGAGTTAATCGTTTGCAGCGATTGAGACAATCGTTGGACAAAACACAGTGTTGAGGGAAATAGCCGTAGATTTGCAAACGAGTCAAACCATTGAAGTGTTTGTTCAGTATTTGAATTAATTCTTGAAATGCAGGCGCCTTTAGATGATTGCGTGAACTCATAGTCAATCGCTTCAATCGCCAACATTTGACACCAATTTTTGCCAATTGTCTCATAAATATAGTTCGTATTGACTTCTTGTGGACAGTGAACTCGACTTTCAACTCAACCAATGCCTTCATTTGTGACAAACCTGTCATTAATGTAATCAACGACTTCTCATCACAATTCTCAACAATCTCGACATCAATTGATTTCAAACTTTTTCCGTACATTTCGACAAAAATGTCAAAACTATTAACATCTGGAAGTGTACTGAACTTAAAGCCAATACTCCGTAACCTCTTAAACAACACATCATTTGTATCATTGCATAGCATCGATGGCACTACGAATGGATTGAAAATCAACTTTAGTTCCCGAAGATTGTGACAAAACTTGATATTATTAGCGAGAGTTGGGATCATTCGCGATAAGCCTATGCTATTGGTGTACGTAAACGCTATCAACTGTTTGGCAAACTTAGCCAAAAACGTGTCCATCGTTTGGACGCTGATGTCTGTGTGAGACCTCATGTGAAGTGCATTCAAATGATTGCAATTCACGATAACTGAGTCCAGTATTAAGTGATTAATATACGGCCACTGATCGGGGAATTCAATTCGTGTCACGTGTTGGCACTTCGCGAGGATTACTTCATAGGATCTGCGCCTAAGACTTGTGTCAAATATCATGTCTTTATGTGTCGTGAATACGAATCTCTGCCACTGTTTGGACACACATTCCGTGCGGAACCGGTCTTCGAGTGCCAAATAAGACAGTAAGTGTTGACACAAATCATCGCCGAAGCGGTCGAAAGAGTCTTTGCGATAGACTTCACATTCATTTGATTCACTCGTGACTTGACTTTTGCTGTGAGTCTTGGCATCACTTCTTGTGTCCAACAATTGTCTCCGTTTTGTATGACTTCTTAAACCTCTTGTCTCCATATTATACGACATGACGTGCCACTCATGTGTTTGATCACTACTTGAGGCCATGGCGTTCACACCTGCAGTCAAGACATCAAAACCAATGATTAAAACAACGAAACAATTGAATTGATTTCAAGAAATACTCACAATTTGTGGCAAAATGTGTGCAAATGAGTGACAAATACAATGAAAAGTAGTTTTGTTTTTGTAAACAAAATCCATTGCCTGTGAAGTGCTGTCAACACATCACGTGATTCACGCGTTCACGTCATACACACGCCTATTAGCACTGCTTTCTGGCAATGGTTTGCCGCAATCATTCAAAGTGATTACAGTAACTGTATTACAGTTTTATCGCTATTATTACGTTTGCATTAATCATCAAATAATTAGTTATGAAATAATTATTTCTAATTATTTTTCATAACGAAAATACTATTAATACTGAAAGTGACTGACATTTCTATGAATATTGTATACATTTAAGTGTTTTCGTAATCTTTATGCCGGCAATCATATCAATCATATCTCTGTGATTACAGTATGTCTTTTGAAATGAGTTGTCAATAGTTTGTGTCATTTGTTCACAACTCATATGAATTGTCGTTCAAAATGAGTGCAATTTATAGGCCATTATTGGGCGATAGGAGGCGCCGAATAGGTCTGCGAAGTGGAACCGCTGGGAGACAATCGTTTTCTCGGTTTGGCGACGACTTGACACGACTGGTGTTGTCTTACCTGTCCTTAGAGGACAAGTTTCGATGTGAATGCGTGTGCAGTGATTGGCGGCGACTGGTGTTCATCGGCCACAACGAGCTGACCATTGATCACAACTTTAACGCAAACTTTTCGCTCAAATATAAGTCCATTGAAGTGATTGCGAGAAAGTGTGCGAACATTACGCGCATTCAGTTCACCAAAGGATACGCTCTCTTAAGCGATCAGCTCTTGAGGCTATTTGTCAGACATTGCCATCACTTGAATGCCATTAGTATTGCTTACTATGAGGTGCGCGAGAAGAGTTGGGATCAGTTGTTCGCGAAGTTTGCTAAGCAATTGAAATCCATTGAATTAGTGGTGTATATGAGCGATACGGTCGACAAAGTGATTGACAGACACATGAAGTTTTGCACGAATTTAACGAAATTTCATATTAACTATAAGTATACTAAAGATAAAAGTCTTTGGCATGTGATGAGTGGTTCGCACAATACGAGTGAAGTCTTGTTTCGCAAAATACAAAGTTTTCGTTTCAATTACGGTAACGATGACATCAATAGATTTCATGTATTTGTTGGATATTTTAGACTCACTTTGAAGTCAATTCACGTCTCCTTTGACACGGATTGCGATCAGAAGTCAGTCCTGAGTCTAATGAATGGTTTGTCACAATTGCGTGCATTAATTGATTTAAGTCTTCATAACATTTACTTCAATGATATGAGGCATACAGTGATCATTGAAAATATGAAACAAATTGGCGTTAATTGTCGTCAACTCAAGAGACTATCGCTTGAATTGGGAGTGAATACGGCCCTAGAGTTTGACAAAATATTTCATACAATTAATGACAACTTTTATCAATTAAAACGCCTAAAAATATGCACTCATTTCCACGAGAGATATATCTTTACGAGGGATTCATTCAATCGCTGCAAACGATTAACGCATTTATCAATTGACGGCATTTCCAGTCAATGCTTAATATATGAGCCGTTTTTGCCGCAAATAGCCATAAATTGTCCGAAACTTAAATACGTTTGCTTTCGGATCCCAAATATCACTCAAAAGGCAATGAATATGTTATCAAAATTGCCAAAAATACAAATCATTAAACTGTACGGCAATAAGAAGATTACGAAACCCTTTGTTAAGAATCTCGTTATAATGTGTCCACAAATTGTCCAAATTATTGTTAATAATGAAAATATGTGTTAAATTAATATTTTCCCAATTAATGCCTCCTTTAATTTCAAATTGAGACAATTATTAGTAACAATTTTGTGTATTAAAACTATTTTAACATTCAGAAACTCGTAGTTATATTAATTAAAAAGTAATAATATTTATGAATCACACATAGTTTAATTATAAATATATAAACATAAAATTTATTACAAAGTAAAAATTAAGTTTGAAAACATTTTTAAATTAGATTCTATCAAAAAACCCAACTATAATTATAAATGCAATTTACAGTTACAATTTAAATGTTAAATTTACCGGTACTTTACAAAGTTTGATTACATTTGCTGTATTCACCGTTTGCTAGCAGTGCGTGCATTCACTGCTGAAAAGCTCACTCCTATTCTTACAGTTTGACACAAATTGGTATTAAATGTCGGCGATTGAAGAGATTGTCTCTCGATTCACGCCATAATTTACAGCCAAAAGCATTCAAAGAGTTTATAGAAATACTGAACAAACACTTCATTGGATTGACTCGTTTGCAAATCCGTAGATTTATTCCCCGAAAGTGTCTTTTGAACAATGATTGGCTCAATAGATGCAAACGATTAACACATTTGTCTATCGATGGCAATCCCGAGTATCTCCACCCTATATATATGATAAATAACTTGTTTTTAGTGAATATCGCACAGAGTTTGCCGCGACTTCAGTGTCTGAACCTAACATTGAACTCAATTAGTGATATTCATTTGGATTCATTGGCAGAACTCAGGGATATTCATACCGTAAGACTGCATATGAGACGCAAGTTTATCACCGAAAACAGTGTTCCCGATCTTTACCACAAATGTCCCAAAATGAAGACATTTGTAATGAACGAACCGTGGGTTAGGTCCAGAGATTATGAGAGTAGCGATTGGGACAGTACTGTGAGCACTGTGAACACCAATTATAATTCATCTGATGAGTGATCAGTGGTTAGAAAAAAGTCTTTATTTGTTTACAGTGTAGTAGAAATAGAAATACAAATCTTATTGAAACCCAATTCATTTCATAATATCAATTTTGGTTGTATTTTAAATGCATACATATTTACTAATAAATGACTAAATGAAAACTATATACCAGTACTAATAAATTATTACTAATTAATAGATTGTTAACTATATTTAACTATATTTACATTATCTATTAAAATGCATACAATTTTTGGACAATTATTAATGAGATTCTTAACAGAATATTCACTAAATTCTTTGCGACAGGACTTGAATTGAATAGTTTGTAAATCTCTAAGTTTTGCCAATGAGTTGAGCGCCGTATCCGTGATTGTAATGTCCGATAGTGTCAAACATTGCAATTGCGCTAAATTGGTGTCTATATCAGCAAAAAATAAATCCTTTAAACAGTCCACACGTTTCGGGAGCGACGGGTAAAGTGTTAAATGCGTTAAACGAGTGCATCGTCTCAATGAACGCGAAGTTAACGCAAACTGTTTGGCGAAACAACCGCTGATTTCCAGACGTCTTATTTGTCTCACGTTTTCGTTAATAGTTTGCATTAAATCGCGAAAATCTTGCGCTGAATTGATCCACACATACAGCGATAGTCTCTTTAATTTACGACAATTCAGTCCTATTTGTCTCAAATGGTTCGCTAATAATATAATTCTTGGTTTCGTATCGAAGTAAGAGTTGTAATGAATCTTCAAATCAATTAATTCACGCATTTGTGACAAACTCGTGAGTAGTATATCAATAGCCAACTCATCGCAACTCTCATCCACTTTCACGTCAATTGATTTCATAGTATTTCTATAGTTTCGCACAAATAAGTCGATTAAACGCCTATTTTCAGTGGTGTATAAGAATTGAAAAGTTTGTAACTTTCTAAACAAAACTTCACTTCTGTTTGCATTGAAAATAGCGGACAAACCCTTTTTGTCGTAATAATCGCTCACTTTTAATGACATTAAGTTTGTACAAAACTTTATATTTGCATTCATAGTGTACTCCAATTGTTTCGAGTACTTTGCACTCAATGTAATTGTTTTCAATTGTGTGCAAAACATTGCGTAAAATTTATCCATAGTTTGCGGACTGACATCACCATAATATCTAATGTTAATGGCATTCAAGTGGTGACAATGTCTTATAATTATGTCAATCATCGCGTTATTACACGTAATATAAGGCTTGTTTGAATCAATTAGTGTAATGTTTGGACACTTTTTCAGTATTGATTCAAATACTAGTAAATCAGTTGCGTTTGGACTCATAGTTGCCATCGGAAACACTTTTATAAGCATAATATCCGTCTGTGTCTTAAATACAAGTCTTTGCCACTGTTTGGACAGACATTCATATCTGAATCGATCCTCAAATGATAGGTAACTCAATAGGAATTGCGATAAGTCTTCGCCAAACCTTTCAAATGAATTTTTCCCAATTGATTCACTTTTTGAGTCAAATATTTTGGTATTATTCACAGAATTATGTAAAAATGATGGCATTTTGCAATAAAACAATTATACTCTGTATGACATACTGTATATGTTCACAATTTAGTTGGAAATTTATATAAAAATAATTTTCTAATCAACATTTCAAATAAACTTTTTATTTATAAAGTAGACATACAGATAGTTTGTTGTAACCTATACACCACAATAAAAATACAAGTAATAATAATAATAATAATACAGTATATGCAGTAATATTATTATTAGCAGCTAGTATAATATTTTGTATACTGTATTATAAGTTATATTGATGCTCACAATTTAATAATGTTATCTCAAAATGGCAATTAGAGTAAAAACACACATACCATTTGATAGCAACTTAAAATTTAAAATAAACTGTCATGTTTATAAGTTAATCAAATATGGCACACAATCTGTTGACCTTTTAACATAAATCTGTAATCATTAAAAGGAAAAGTTTTATAAATAGCATAAAACTTGTTTTGAGATATATTTTGCCAATAGTTGCAAATTGCTATTAAAACATAATTATCTTTATTACATTCAGTCAGCAGTTTTTATTTTTAAATATAATTATATATTTATCTTGTTTATTACTAAATAATTACTATTACTCTTAAGAGGAGGCTATTAAACATATTTTAATATTAATACTAAATACTTTATAAAGATAATAATAATTATCATAAGTATTATACTGAACACCAAAACACTGCATTAGGTTTAGAGATATTTTTGTTCATTTATGACAAGATTTCTAATTTTGGGACAATTATTGATAATCTTGTGAACAGTAAAGGCATTGAAACTGAGTTTACAGTCAATGAATTGAATGTTTTGTATTTCACTGATAGTTGTCAAGGAAATCAAAGACATATTAGTTATGTTTGCGTTGGAAAGACATAAACTCTGAAGTCGTGACACATTTCTGTCAATACTATCGAAGAATATATCCTTAATATTACAGCCATTATAGGGATGTAGTCTTAAATGAGTCAATCGTTTGCAATCATTCAGCGATTCATTCAGCAAAACAAAGCTTTCGGGAAAATCTCCACTAATTTCCAAACGTTTCAAACGTTTAAAACTTTTGTTAATTGTTTGCAATATTTCCGATAAAATTGTCGTGAAGTTTGAGCAGAAAAATAGCGAAAGACTTTTAATTAGCCGACATTTGCGGCCAATTTGTGGCAATTGGTTCACAAGTAATGCGATATTACTATCATTTTCAGTGAAACATAGGATTTTCAAATCAATCAATTCATGCATTTGTGACAAACCAGTCATTAGTGTATTAATCGACTGCTCATCGCATTTATAATTAACACATAATTTAATTGCTTTCAAACGGTTCCCATAATTAGCCACAAATAGTGATTGAAATGTTTGCGAGTTTTCAGCCGTATATTCAAAACAGAATTTATTTAACTTCTCAAACATAACCACATTTTCGGCACAATTCTTGAACAGAATATTCTTGAGACTAGACTTCGACGGTATGCTTAGATTCGAGACATTTTCACAAAGGTTTACATTTGTCTCAATCCGTTTGCATAACAACTCGCTGTCTATTAGTTTGAAACGAATTGTTTTCAACTGTTTGGCAAACTTTGCGAAAAACTTGTCAATCGTATCGACACTTATATCGCAATTAAATATAATGTCCATTTCAGTCAAATGATTGCAGTGTTTGATAATTAACTCAAATATAGTTGTATTTAATCCATAGACGTATTGGCTCTCAATCCGTGTAATAAATCGTTGTTTTCTTAGTATTGTGTCAAATGTTTCGTAGGATTTAAGGGCTTTTAATAGTTTATCATTGATTACTAAATCGGTTCGCATTTTATACACCAATCGTTGCCACTGTTTGGACAAACATTCATATCTGAATCGGTCCTCAAATGAGAGGTAACTCAATAAGTGTTGACACAAATCATCACCAAATCTATCAAAAGACTTTTTGTTATAAATGAATGACATTTTATTGCATACAAAAATAGTTTTTAAAACTCAACAGCTAGGTCAACTCTACAATTTAACTGAAATAAAATAATATTTTAAGTTTTATACCCATATAAAAAAATTATTGTTTTATTAGTATTATTATATCATGCATTATAAAAAATATAAAAAATAATTTTTGTAATTTGTTAATAATGGTACTTATGATAGTTGCTATTTGTACATAATATAATTTATAAATAAGATAACACAAATAAGAAATGTATAATTAAGAAATAAAACAATATCTTAAAAAATATATTTATTATAAAAATAAAATTACAAATATATTAATATTATATAATGAATTTTAGTTAATTTAACTGACAAGAATATTTTACATTTTATTCGTAATGTTATGAAATATTTTTAAAGATGATTAACCTGCATTATAAAAAGTAATATACATTAATAATTTATTCAAATTGATTATACTGCTCAAAATATTATCATGAAGTTAGAATTTCAATGCCATGTTAATTTTTAATTATCAAAATATATTTATAACATACTGATTATTATCTTCGAGTGTATTCTTCATATGTTGTGAACCCATACTCTGGATTTCATTCAACATTTCCATCAAATTCTGGAGTTTTGTGTTGGACTCGGAAATGGACCAGAATTTCAATCTTAAGTATCGGTGCAATAAATATATGTATTTTCGCTGTTCAAACCTAATGTGTGAAATATTATTTTAGTTTTATTTATTTTATAAATATTACAGTATTTAAAGTTTTTGTGCTATAAATAAACTAACTTGACAGTGAGCCTGTGTTTTAAACCAGGTCTATATGGGTTAAAATATACGATCGCCTTTAGCTATAAATAAATTAAAAAGCTTTTAAATTAAAAATTGAATTAGTTTATTAT